GCAGAGGAATAGCCAGTGCAAAGGTCCTGAGGTCTGAGGAAGTGAAAGAAGACTGGGAAGGGGGAGCGAGGTTTGAAATGAGGTCTGAGGCAGGCCCTGGGAAAGAATGTGGCTTTCATGCTAAGGGAAGAAGGAGCCACTGATGTGTTTTCCGTAGCTGAGGCCATATCTCACTGGCTAGCAGGCCACTACGGTACACAATGGAAGACATGCGGTGAGAGGTGGCTGGGTTGAGAATACGGTTGGGAGGTGGCGCTGATGGGAAACACTCACGTTTTGAACATGGGATTGCGAGGGAGAATGTTTTCCACAGAGCCCAGACTTGTGTCACCTCAGAGGCTGTCTCAGTGTAGGGCCCTCCCAGTTCTGCCCTCAGCTTGCAGATGGGGAGACAGACCTTTAGAAGTCACCTTGTCCAGCACCCCCAGAGGAGGGCTGTGGATTCTCTGAAGTCCCGCTGAAACTCAGTGCCTGACCCAGGACTCAAACCCGGGCCTGGCCGCCCCACCCTGCTGCCTCTCTGCTGAGGAGGGAGGAGGAGGGAGGAACCACTGCCCCGGATCGGCCTGACCAGGCATGGCCAAGTGGTGAGGTCACCCGGAGAAGCATCTGAAGCGAGAGGCGGGGACTGAGGCGCTGCCCTGGGAGCACTCGGGGTGGGCGGAATATCATGGAAGGGCCCAGGGACAAGGAGAATGTGCCAGGGCAGCATCTTCAGCCTGGCAGGCCTGGGGGACTTCTGGAGACTGTGTGGGCCACTGACCCTCAGGGGTCTTGGCAGAGACAGGAGCAGGAGCTTCCTGCAGGGGCCTCCAAGAGCCGAGCCCAAGATGGGCAAGGCTCGTAGTGCCTTACCTGGCCCAGCCAGGTTTGCAAACCTCTGAGCCCCTTATCCCCCAACAAAGGGGCTGGCGGTGGCCCCTCCAGAGGAAGGAAAGAGCCAGGGACGCAGCCTGTGGTCCTCTGAGGAGTCCAAGGCAGGTGGCCTGGACTGAACTCTACTCTGCTCCTGAGAGCAGCAATCCTGTAGTATCAACATCTTCCTCTTACTCACGGCTTCTTCTGGGTTCAGTTGTTTTTGTGGTTATCTGTATTATCCCCATTTTACAAAAGAGTTTAAGGAATTTGCCTGGTGTCACATGGTGAAGTGACAGAATCACCATCTGAAGCTAGCTTCTTATCCCAGGTGGGCTACTGCCGCATGCTCCCTGTGATGGTGGACAAGGCTGTTTCCCTCTTGGGGCCTCTGTCTGTCCATCTGTGAAACAGTGGAGTGGAGTAAATGAGCCTGACGGGCCCTCGTAGCTCTCTCAACTGGAGCCCAGAATCGCTTCTCTAGGGAGGGGTTCAGGGACGGGAGCCTGATGGAGCGGCACCGGGGACTTGTCTTGGAACTGCGTCCTCCACCAGCCTGGGCCAGTGGTTAAGGGCACAGGCTCTGGCAGGCCACCACCTCCTCTGAGGGCGGAGTGAGCACTGTCTGAGTCAGTGCAAGCAACGTGTCCCTAGGGCCTGGCACATGGTGGGTGACAGCTCTTCATGTTTGGTTGGCGAGCAGGAGGCTGTCTCTTCACGGTCCATTCATTCACTCATTCAGCAAATATTTGCTAAATACCACCAGTGTGCCAGGTGCTATTCCAGGTATTGGCAGCACAGTGGCGCCCAAAATAGCATTAACTCCCTGCCTTCATGCAGCTTAGTTCTCCAAGTGGGGGAAGCAGACCAAAAAAAAAAATTAAAAAAGCACCCCATCGGCATGTTAGATAGTGGTAAGGGCCGGAGAAGCAGTCAACAGAGAAGGCAAGAGGCAGCGCCCCTGGTGGGGGCATGTCAGAATTTTATTTCATTTATTTTCTTTTAGAGACATGGTCTCGCTCTGTTGCCCGGCTAGAGTGCAGTGGTGTCATCATAGCTCACTGCAGCAATCTTCCGGCCTCGGCCTCCCAAAGTGCTAGGATTACAGGTGTGAGCCACCACACAGCCGGGTCAGGTTTGTTTTTTTTTTGAGACAGAGTCTTGCTCTGTTGCCCAGGCTAGAGTGCCGTGGTGTCAGCCTAACTCACAGCAACCTCAAACTCCTGGGCTTAAGTGATCGTTCTGCCTCAGCCTCCCCAGTAGCTGAGACTACAGGCATGTGCCACCATGCCTGGCTAATTTTTTCTATATACTTTTAGTTGTCCAGCCAATTGCTTTCTACTTTTTTAGTAGAGACAGGTCTTGCTCTTGCTCAGGCTGGTCTCGAACTCCTGAGCTCAAAAGATCCTCCCGCCTCGGCCTCCCAGAGTGCTAGGATTACAGGCATGAGCCACCGCACAGGCCGCGTCAGGTTTTTAAATCAGGAGACTGGGAAGGCCTTCCCGAGAAGGCCACCTGAACAGGTGAGAGGTGAGCAGGGTGGCTCTCTGAGAGAAGAGCATGCCAGGCAGTGGGAACAGCCAGGGCTAAGGCCCTGAGGCGAGAAGCCCTGCTCATTCCAGGAGGAGGCCAGTGAGGTCACATGGCTGTGAGCAAGAGGGAAACTGACAGGGGCTGAGGTCAGGAAAGCTAAGGGGGGTTGAGGACGGATTGTGGGGGCTGTTTTCAGGGCCGCCTAGCCGTTTAGTAAATCCGTGCGTCCACAGCCAAGGGTGATTCCTTTGGGGGTCCTGAAATCCTTCTTCCGGCACTGGATTCATCCACAGCGGCACCTTCACTATCTGCCGATTCCAGGGCTATCCTTGAGGTCCCCAGCCCACTGCTCCAGGGTGCCACATGGTACGGAAGGGTCTGAAAATAGGAAACAGGTACACAAGTGAGTTTGGGAAGATGCTATGAGAGCCACTACCCCTGATCCAAAGCAGAGCGGCCAAAACCCACCCAATAGGTGGGGCCCTAGCACCTATTGTCCCAGCCTGGTTGCATCTCCTGGGTGGGTTGCAGGGAAGGGAAGTTTAGCTGGCCACACCTTTGGATTTTAGAGTCAGGAGTTCTCTGGACAGTCACTGAGAACCAAGTGGGAGAGAGAAGGTGGGCCTGGAGGGTGCTGGAACAGGTAAGATTTTTTTCACTTTGGAAGAGTCTCCTCTCCTGGGTTTGTTTTTGCGTCATCTGTTTCCCCTCAGAGCTTAGCTGCAAAGCTCTACAGAAGAGCCCACACACTGGTCTTCCAAGAGTGACTTGGCTTGTCAGGTGACAGGGTGTGGGGCACGCTTGGAGGGGTGAGGGGAGTGGGCTCTTAAGACCTTTCAGCCTAGGGACTAGCCAGGTTAACAGTTGCTCCTCTGGGGATCTGACTGGGCTTGGAAGCGGCAGGGGAGTTGTTCCAGCCAGACCCAGTTTGGAGCCTCCTGGGAGGTAGATCTGTGCCCTTAGGCAAGTGCATGAGAAGAAGCCTCAGACTTAATCTGTTGTTGTTTGAGAGGATTAAATGAGATAACTGCTTCTCCCAGTGCAAGCTGCTTAGTAGGTGCTGAAGAGAAGCAGGGCCCAGGTAGGAAGGTTGGGGGGGTGAGGAAGGAAGACATGGGGAAACTCCCCCCACAGTCGCGCTGCTGCCCCTCTGTCTGGGCTGATATGAGGGAACAACAAGGGGGCCCCTGGACTCCGCCCAGCTGAGCGTGGCCAGGGCCAGGGGAGAATTTGGGCCCAGAGCTGCTGGATCTCCCAATGCCTCAAGAGAAGCAGGGAATATGGGTCTGTAATATGAAATTTCCCAGTTTTAAAACTCCGGGAGTCCATTAACAAAACAACTACAGAAAACACCATGAGGGCCAAGCAAAGCCCACCACCTGGTTGGTGACCCCTTGCTCAGGTGAAGGTGGCCCTGAGGGCAGGTCCCCAGTTGGCTGCTGCAGGCCTCTCCTGGGAGGACGCTCCTGTCTCCTGCTCTTGGAAATGGGCTGTGGACAGACCCAGCTCCCCACTGGGAGAACAGAGCCGTCCCGCTGGGCTGTGTGGTCCTGGGCAAACCCCTTCCCTTTCTGGGCCACAGTTTCCTGGCTTGAGAAAGGATCTAGTCTGTGGGGCTCCTGCCAGTTTGGACAGTGTGTGACTAAGCCCCTCAGGCTCGAAGGAAGATGCGGTTATTACGGAAGTGACTCCTCTCAGGACTGTGCTTCCGGGGTGCGATGCAGTGCACTCGGGAGTTTTGTGTGCTCACAGTCACAACCGTGTGTGTGAATGTAAGTGTGTCATAATTGGGAGCTTTGCATGGCACAGTGTGAATATTGTTTTAATAACCCTATTCTGGAACCTTTCATCCATCACTCTGGAAGCCGGTGGGAAGCCTTCATTTAATTCTCCCTGTGACCTGGGGAGAGCAGGGTCCTTCCTCCATTCCTAGTTTAGGGAAACCCACGCCCAGAGCTGAGAGGTGACTTGGCTAAACGTGCGCCACTCGAGCCCTGACTCCGGTGTTGGTTCCACGGTAGTGTGCGGGGCCCCTCATTCATGAGATCAGGATTTGAGGGTCTCCTCTGTGTGAGGGGAAGGGGGGAGGGAGAAAAAGGTCTTCATCCTTAATTTTCCCATGGGAGGAGCGTGTATGAGCTCAGGCTACCTCTCTGTCCCCTCAAATCTCTCGCCCCTGAGTCAGCCTGGCCTGTGCTCCCTGCAGCACTGAGAACCCGGAGGCGGAGTGACCCCCAGCTGTCTAACATCTCCTTTTGCAGCGTCGCTCCACCGGCCTTCGCAGGGGCCCACTGCTTTGCCTGGAGAGAGAGAACCGGGCAGACTTTGGGTCTAAAACCCTCCCCCAACCCCTCCGCTTTTTGTGCGCCCTCCTCTTCCCTCTGCTCGCCCCCCCGTTTTTTCCACCTGTGCCCGGGACTGCATCAGGGTGTCCGTACCTGTGGGTGCTCCCCCCGCCCCAAGGACCCGTAAGACTGCGCCCCCGTCCTGGGGCTGGGGGGCCGCGTTTCCCGGCTTCGGCCTCCAGCAGCACCGGCGCGGGCGACGCGGGCCCTTTAAATCCTCCGGGGCGGCGGCGGCGGGCCGGGGATGACATCAGCGGGCGGGCCCGGGGCTCAATGGGAGCCGACGGGTGCGCGCCGGCGGGAGCGCGCGAGCCGGCGGCAGGCGGGGGCGGGCGGGCGGCAGGGCCGGGAGGAGGGAGGCGGCGGCGGCGGCGAGAGCCCAGAGCCTGAGCCCGGCCGGGGCCGAGCGGAACGGAGCGGAGCGCGGCGGCGGCGGCGGCTGGGCCGGGAGAGGCTGGCGCGCCGGGCGGCTCCGCGAATCCTCCGGCATCCGCCCCGGCGGGCCGCCCCCGCCCGCGGCAGCCCCCGGAGCAGCGGCCCGGCACCGGCGCCTTCCCGGCGGGGTAAATATTGGGGGGCTGCGGGCCCGCGGAGGGGCGCAAACCTGGGGGGAAACGGGGCTCCCTCCGCCTCTTTGTTTTTGCTGGGAGAGGAGGGAGGGAGGCGGACACGCGCGTTCGCGCTGGGGTGCGGGGGGGCAGGCCGGGCGCCGCCCGCTCGGCCCGGCGAGGACAAAGGCGCGGCTGGGGACGAGGAGGAGGGTGACTATTATTTTGCGGGCTTGCGGGGGGAGGCCCCCGCGGTCCGGCCCGCCTCCGCCTCCCCCAGCTGGACCCTCCAAGGCCCCAGCTGGCCCAGGCGGCCACCGGCTGTGATTTGGGGACGCTGAGGGAGGGGGCCCCCGGCACCGGGGTGCTGGGGGCGCCCGATGCTGTTGATTCCGGCTTCAGTGGGCTTCTCCGGACAATCGGCAGCGCCCCCTTCTCTCTCGGCCCGGGTGCCCCGGACCTGGGGTCAGCAGGGCCGCTCCCGCTTGTTGGATGGGGGCATTTGGGGCTCCTGAGGTCGTGGGGTGCGTGGTCACCAGGCCACCGATTTTGTTTTCCTTTGTGGAGAGAAAGAAAGGGGTGGGGGTTATTTATCAGATCGGATTCTCCCATTTCTGTGTGTGAGAAATTCGCGTTGTGCAAGTCTCCATGGAGCGGAAAACTGCGCCTGGCTCTGCTTAGAGAGAGGATTCCCAAGCCCCGGTTAAGACCCAAACTGAAAGTGGGGTGAGCCCCCTCCCCAACTTTCCCCTTAGTTTTCTTGCATATTTTCTTCTTGGCATAACCTCCCTCAGGGAGAAGGATCTGGGGAGAGAGGAGAAGGAATACAGTGTCTCAAGTTGTTTCCAACAAATGCCTGTGTTTGGATCTCCTTTGCCACTGTGTCTAGGATGTCCCTTTAGTTTTTATTTTAATGGTCCAGGGACAAGGGCCCTGGCTCTGGGGAGGAGGGCTCAAAGAGTGAAAAAACTGTCCATGTGCTGTGCTGGTTGGTAGTTCGTCTAATTTTTTTAACCTGCCGAAACTCCTGAACCTTCTTATTTGTGTCCCCCGCCCCATGGAAGACACAGCAAAAGAACCGGAAAGCTTCTCCCATTCTTGAATGAAGCCTTTCTCCTCTCCTCTGGGAGGCTTTGTGGCGAGTAGTGTTGGGACACTTTTCAGTTTAGGCTCTCCCAGGAGCCTTGGCCCCCTGGAGTGTGTGGGAGAGACTGGGGGTCTGGGTGGCTAGCACAGAGGGGAGGGGTCCTGCAGGGCTGGGAGTTTGCACCCCCTCTCCCCTTCCTGTAGACAGCCTGCTGAGTGGGGACAGACTGGGGGGTCATGTGCAGTATATTTATGTAAGACACCCAGACAGAGGGCACGGGTATTTATATAACCCGGCGTGGGTATTTATGTAATATAGGATGCGGGTATATTTACGTTCCTTTCCTAACCTGCGGCTTTCCCTGCTGCCGTGTGTGGTCTCTGAATTGGTGTTGGCCAAAAACAGACTTGGGGGGGGGGGTGTTTGTGTGCTCACCCCTCCCCCATCAGGGCTCGTTGTGCTCCTGCTTTGCTTTCTTCCCTTGGAGTGTACACACTTGGGAAACTGGACCTGTGTGTACGTGGGGTGTGTGGCGTGTGGGTTTCCTGCAAATGTGGAGTGCGTCCTGCTGGCAGCGTGGCACCTCAGCTGGGACAGGCCAAGCATGTGGGCTGAGGCCCTTGACTGAGAGCTCGGAGTTTGTCTGGCACGGGGTGGAGGCTCCTTCCTCGTGGTTATTGGTGGAGGGCGAGTGAGCTCCCAGGGACCTGGGTGCTGGCGCTGGCAGCTGGCATGTGTCCTGGGCTGTGCTGGGGCAGAGGGCTCAGGCCGTGGGATAAATCTCTCCCATCTCTGTGCCCAGGCTGGCCTGGCTGTTGGGGACAGCACTTGGGGTGGGGAATGGGCAGATCCTCTGTGCCAGCACAGCTGCTTTGCCATCTTCCTGTTTTGCTCCCCAGCCGTAGCATGAAATAGATCTTGTCTGTGGGGCTGGCAGGCCTGTCCAGGTCCTAGGTGAGACTCCACCGACTACGGGGTGGCAGGTGGCATGGCCTGTCTGGGCCTGTGCTCTCTGTGTGCAAAAGGAGCCCCCCTCTTAATGGTCTTTGATGCCGGCCTCCTTGTAAGCACTCAAGGTCTCAGGGCTCTGCCTCCTTCTACCTGTTTCGTAGGCCCCCCTTCTCTGTCCCCCCCAACAACTGAAACTGCCTCCAGGCCTCTGAGTTTCCTCCTCTGCTGGCCTGGAGCACAGAGTCTCCAGACCTTTGCCCCCAGCCACTAGGGTAGCCTTGGGCCCTGATGTCCCTTGGTCTTGGGACACCCAGAGTAAGTCACAGGAGGGAGGGAAGCTGTTCAAATCAGAGCTCCTCCCACCCCACAGGGCAGGTGGCTGGAAACCTGGCTTCTGTCCCCTCAGTTGCTCTATAAGGGCCCTCCTAGGAGACCCTCCCTCCTAGTCTTCAGGGAAGGCAGCTCTGAACAGTTGATCCAAAGAGCTATGTGCACAGAGGCCTGTTCGAGGTTCTTGGTGTCATGGGGTGTGGGGGACAACTGGAAGGTGGGTGTTTCCTGCCTTTGCCCCCGAGCGGGGGTGAGATGCTGTCCTGCAGGGCACACTGGGGGCTGGCAGGGTCAGATGTCTGGGCAGAGGCCGTACTCGGGAAGACCAGGCCAGGCTGTGGGAGCCTGGGGGTGGCAGTGAGGACGCTGTCATTTCAGAGGGCTGAAAGGGCTGAGGAGCTCCTCTGGGAGCCTTCCCTTCAACTCATCCTCCCATCCTAGAGGTTGGGCCTGTCTGGTGGTTGCCATGGAGGCACCCCCTTCATCCTTGATTTTCCTTTCAGAGACTTGGCACATTGTGACTAGCCCCCACCTTGAGAGGTGTCTGTTGGCGGGGCCCCAGTGAGTGTCCCCCACGGTGATGCTGGCTTGGCTGTTTCTTCTAGGGCCATGTCTCTAATTCCATTTTTTTTTTTTTTTTGAGACAGAGTCTCACTCTATTGCCTGGGCTGGAGTGTAGTGGCGTTGTCACAGCTCACTGCAGCCTCAAATTCCTGGGCTCCAGCGATGCTTCTTCCTCAGCACCCGCACCCCCAGTAGCTGGGACTACAGGCCCATGCCACCCCCTGCTAATTTTTCTGTTTGTAGAAATGGGGTCTCACTGTGTCACTTAGGCTGGTGTCGGATAATTCCACCTTTTGCCTGGCTGCACAGAAATCTGTTCTCAACCTGCCTCACCCATTCCCCAGATGCAGGAGTGCAGGCTGTGCACGCACCACCTGACGCCTGGTTGCCCTCCAGCAAAGTGAGACCAAATCTCTTCCTGGACAGGAGGAGCGAGAATGTTGGTCTCCCAAGTTCTTGTGGCTTTGCAGACCCCTTCCCCAGCTCCCGATTTCTCTGAATCCAGTGTTTCCGCTTCTCTCTGCAGCAAGAGCGAATCATGGAGCTACGCGTGGGGAATAAGTACCGCCTGGGACGGAAGATCGGGAGCGGGTCCTTTGGAGATATCTACCTGGGTAAGTGTTCCTGGCTCCAGCTGGAGGTCCTTGGGCAGCTCTGGGGACAAGGAGGACAAAAGACCCCAGGATTTTGGGGTCTGAAGCCAGAACCTGACTCCAGTGGCATATTTTGCCGCTAGGGCCATCCCAGATGGGGAGGGCACAGCAGATTGGGGTGAGGCAGGACCGGGGCTCCCCTCACAGTTGAGGCAACACAAGCTCTGCTCGCTGCAGGCTGGACAGAGGAGGGAATTTTTAGCACCAATTTCCGGCTCCAACTGACCTGGGTCTCCAGCTGGGCGTGGGAAAGCACCCTTGGGGGAAGGATGCTGGTAGACAGAGAAGAGGCCTGGGCCACCACTTGACCCCAGCTGGGCCCCCGCTTGACCCCAGCTGGGCCCCCTCCCGCCTGGAAGCCTGGAATGCAGCTGAACGGGGCAGGCTTCGGGATGATGCAGGCTCCCCCAGTGACCTGGGGGAGGGGGCTCTCATTTACGGAGTTTTCTCTCCGGATATGCTTCCTGTGGAAAGGTTGAGTTTGCCTTGATGTTGTCATTTTAAACGAATCACTGACATCTCAGCCCGCTCCTCAGCTGCTTGCTCAGGGACATGGCCACCAGCCACAGCCTTCCTTAGCAATTGGTCCGAAGGGCCGATATTTAGTGTTGGTGATTGTGGATGGGAGGGTGGGGCCTGGAGTAGTTGGAACAAGGTGGCATCCCCCACTAGGGCTTGTTCTCTTTTCTGTCCCTGTGTCCTTGGAAGCAGGCTAGACCTACATCCGTGCCTCAGTTTCCCTCCTTGGAAAATGAAAATAAATCATTTCTGTCCTGGGCAGAGAAAACCAAGAAGTCTGCATGTCATGGTCATTAGTTCAGAACTTGGGGGTTTCTCTTACCCAGTGGTCAGAATCCCTGCCCCCTTGGAGTATGAAATCTTCGCAGGGAGCCTTGGGGGACAGGGAAGGGGGCATGCACTTTCCTTGAGCACTTACCTACGGGGTACTTTCTGAACCAGGTCTCCCCTCATAGCAGCCCCTAGAGATGGTACCAGCTTGTCTCGTTTCACACCTCAGGAAAGCGAGGTACAGCATGGTGGAGTTGGCCTTCGAGGCTGCTCTAGAAAACTAGCAGCAGCAGCCTAGATGCGCACAGCCCTGTATGTGAGTGAGAGAGTGTGGAAGCCGGAACACGGGAGGGAGACGTTAGGCAGATCTGGGTTCCAGACTGGCTTTGCGTGGCTGCTCTGCCTCAGTGTCCCCATCTGTAAAGTTTGTGATGACGCCGCCTGACTGACCAGGAGCTCTAAGGAGACACAAATGAAATGACAGATGGGAAAGCGTTTTGCGAACCGTAAAGCGCGAGCCGGATGTGCAGTTCACTGCCGAGCGTTTACCCTGCCCTGTAAACACCTGGAGCTCAGAGTGCAGGGAGGGAGACCTTGCAGCGGAGCAGGTTTAAAGATTTTCTCTGTGCCCGAGCTCCTGGGGAGGCAGGTGTCGCGTGTATTTGCCTCTGCCCAGTGCCTGGCCTGGGACTTGCCCACAGTGGGTGTTCACCGAGGGCCTGCCATGTAAACGGATGAGAAAACGGACACTAACATGCCAGGCACGTGCAGCGGCCTCACTCATGGCAGGACAGAGACAGGCTGGGATCAGGGGCCAGCTCAGGTGTAGATCCCCAGTCTGCTCCTCCTCTGCTGTGTGACCTGGGAAAAGTCACTTATCTCTCTGAGCCTCAGCATTCTCATCTGAAATGGGGCCACCCATCTCCTTACTGCTTATGAAATTGGGTATAAAGGACCCTCTTTTTATTGAGGCTCTTAGGCTCAGGACTGAAGCCTGGAGCCACTGGCTCAAAGGCAAAGGGTGCTCCTGGCACAGACATATGCCTGCTCCTAGGCAGCATCTGGTCCAGGTCCCTCTTTTTGCAGAAGGGAAACTGAGACCCACGGGGGGGCGGTCAGCCCATGGTCACTCAGCAAAGCCTGTGTCCTTGGTTCTTGTTGTGGTACCTCCCTGAGGACAGGACTTCCTGTTTATCTGCATAGTTATCTCATTCACTTTAAAACTAGGTCCAGGTTCAACTTCTTTTTGAACTGGCTCTGGAGTAACCTAGGTTTAGCTGCTGAGGTTTCTTTTTACTAACTGTATATCCTTGCAAGTGATGACCTCTGCCAGCCTTGACTTCCCCATCTTTGAAATGGGGTTGCAAGAAGTAATGGGGTCCCTGTGTATAAAGCCCAGCAGAGCATGTTTAAACTGGCCCCCATCCTCAGTCTTGGTTGGGACTTGCTGCTTTCAAAGGATCCAGCTCCTCTGGGGCCTGAGTCAGTTCTCCCAACTGTCCAGCCTTTGCCAGGTATGGGGACCTTGGTGAGCGTGTTCTGCCCTGACTCACCCTCCTGGGTCCCTGACTTGCTGGTTTGGGGACAGTGGTGATTGTAGGGCCTTCCCAGCTGGCCTCACTGGCTTCATTTGTTCAAAGCTCTGGCCACATTCTTGTCCCCTGTGCTGGGCCAGGGCCTGACTCCAGATGGCCTCTGCAGGTGGGGCTGGACACAGCCTCCAAGCCCTGCTTTCCAGGATCAGCTGAGGGCCAGCACACTGTGGGTGTGGCTGCAGGGCCCCCAGATCCTCTTCAGGTCCCCCCTGCCTGTCCCCAGCATCATAAAGAGACAACCAGGAGCGAGGAGCCTGCTGTTTTAAGGGCTTCAAGTTGGCCGCACAGGGTCCAGGGTCCAAACCTGGGCCCACTCACAAGACTCACTGGTCTTGTGTCCTGGGGAACTGTCTAGACCTCTTAGAGTGTCTGGTCCTCAGCTCTGAAAGGGGCGGGAAGCAGTGCTGCCCTGACACGTGGTTATGCAGGGAGAGTTAGTGCAGGGAACGCTCCAGGCTTCTGCTAGGTGGGAGTCAAAGTGGCCACTGCTGCTGTTGCTGGGACGGATGGGCTTTACCCTCTGTCCTTCAGCCCAGCCAGGTCCCTGATTGTGCCCATTTGGGTGTCTGGAGTGAGTCCCATGTTGGGCTGGTCACCCCTCTTGCCACCTGGAATTCACAAGGTTCCAGCCCTGCTATGGCTGGCCAGGTCCAAGCCCTTTTCCGCGTCCAATTTGTTTTGGTGACTTGCCAGTCCTCCCACAGAGTCACTATAACTAATGGGCCGTGTTCTGTTCCTGAAATCGGGCAGTTCTTCCAGCTACCAGGCCTTTGCACGCAGGGGCCCCCTGCAGCTACGCCTAACCCACTTGCTCCAGACAGAACATCTGCCAGGAAACCTTACCTGGGATTGGAATGGAGAAAGAAGCAGGGGCTTCGGGGACTAAGTTTCAAACCCTGGCTCTGCCCCAGCCAGTTCTGTCTGACCTCAATCCAGTTACTTAACCTCTCTGAACCCCAGCTCTGTGGTTGCGAGGAATAGGGGAGCTCAGAGAAAAGCCTGGCAGCTTCCCGACAGAACTCAGAGGCAGCCGAGGGGCCTGGTGGCAGCTGTGCAGAAGGTTTCCAGCACTCCGTGGGGGGCAGAAGATTTTGCCTAACAGCCTGGGTCCCTATCCCTGGGAAGTGTGTAGCATATGGTCATTTGACCTTTGGTGTCTTCCGTTTTTCCATGTGTCAAATAGAAATATAAACAGTGGTACTCGCAGGGCGGGTCAGGTTCAAGGGGATGAAGGCCCCTCCACCCGCCACTTCCCTGCACCTCTCCTTCCTGCACACGTCTCTGAACCACCGAGGGCCACAGGTCCTGCCTCCAAAGTGTCACCCTGCCTGGGCAGGGCCACCCTTGGCTCTTGCCTGGACAGCTACAGTGGCCTCCCAGGCCTCCCTCTCCCCATCTAGCCTCCTAGCCCTTTCTGGTACACCAGAAAGTCTCAGTGCGGGGTGATTTTTGTCCCCCATGGGACATTTGGCTAGATCTCCATACCTTTTGGTTATTACAGTTGGGGAGGGGGCGCCTACTGGCATCTAGTGGGTAGAGGCCAGGGATGCTGCTAAATACCCTACAGTGCACAGGGCAGCCCCACAACAAGGAATTAGCCAGCCCCAAATGTCAGCAGGGCCGAGGTTGAGAAGCCCTGTGGTCAGACACCTGAACCTGCCCCTGGAGCTTTAGGCAGGATCTCGACTGCCATTCGAGAGCCTTCAGATCTCTCCCCGCCCACCTCGTTCACTGTCGTCTTCAGCTACGCCAAGGGGCCCACATGCACCAAACCACTTAGAGTTGGCTGCACCCCCTCCTGCCGGGCCTCTGCATGTACTGTGACCTCCGCCTGGCACAGCGCTGCTCACGCGGCAGCCCTTGCCGCCTCTCCTCCAGGCAGGCTCTGCTTTCCCCATAGCCTTGCTCACTCCTTCCTTTCCTTCCCCTGGCCTGTGAGTGCCACCGGCTCAGCTCTGTGGCCCAGGGGCCAGTGCATCCCAAACCACATGACATTGTGGAGCACTTACGTGTGCCAGGCACTCTTTTAAGCATTTTTGCACTTCACAGCAGCCTAGTGAGCCAAATACTGTCACCGGTTTACAGATGAGGCACCTGGGACCTCAGAGGGCTGAGGTGACTTGTCAGAGGTCCCTGGCTAGGAGGTGGCAGAGTCAGGATTTGGGCTTCAGCAGTTGGCTCTGGAGCCCACACTCTCAACCACTGCACTCTCCTGCCCCTTGTGCTGGCAGGGAGACGGAGCACGGCCAGGGTCCCCAGGGAGCCCCTCGCCCCTCCTGTGCCACGTCCTCACAGCGCCCCGGAAGCTTGTGCAGCTCACCCAGTGATGAGCCTTGACATGTCAAAAACGCTTTACAGTTTGCAAAACACTTTCTCTCCCATTGCTGACTAGGTTTAGTCATCTGTTGTTTTTCTTTTTATTTTATGTGATTCAAAAATCCAAACACAAAAATGCGTTAAGTGAAATAAGCTGGTCACAAAAGATCACATGTAGTGTGACTCCATTTCTGTGAAATACCCAGAGCAGCAAATCCATAGGGAGGAAAGCAGATCACTATTGCCAGGGGCTGGGGTGACAAGGGGGAGATAGGGCCTGACTACTAAAGGGTATGTGTGTTCCAGGGGTCATGAAAATACAGTCCCTTGGTATCTAAGGGGGCGTGGTTCCAGGACCCCCTCGGATCCCAGAATTCACGAGTGCAAAAGTCCCTGCTCTAAAATCCCCCGTATTTGTATACAACCTACGCGTGTCTTCCCGAATACTTGAAATCATCTCTAGATTGCTTATAACACTTAGTACAATGGAAGTGTTATGTAAATAGTTGTTAGACGGTACTTTGTATTTGTGGTTTTCTTATTCTGTTATTTTTATTGGGTTTCCTCCCTGCGTGTGTTTGACCCACGTTGTTGAATCTGTAGACGCAGAACCCGTGGATACTGAGGGCCGGCTGTGTTCTAAAACGGATCGTGGTGACGGTTGCACAACTGTGTGAATACACTAAAAACCACTGAATTGTACACTTCACCTGAGTGAATTGAAGAGTACGTGAATTACGTCTCGATGAAAGTGTTGAAATAAATCAAAACTTGCAATGTAGTATCCAGTTGCCCAGCTGAGCCGCCCAGCTCTGCCCAGTCTTTACTCGTTTCTCGTGTTTCTGTTCAATGTTTCTTTATGTAGATACAGCCAAGTGTAGCTACTTAGTTCCTCACCTTTTTTAAAAAACTGAAGTAAGAGGGAACTGTTTTGCGCTTTGCTTTTTCACTTCCTGTATCTTGGAGATCTTTCCACTTGTGTACAGAGAGAGCTTCCTCATTCTTTTTCCATCATATTCGGTTTTATGGATGGGCTGTTCTTTATTTAATCAGTCCCCGCTTGACAGACATTTGGGTTGTTTCCAAGCCTTTGCTATTGCAGAGAGCCTACAGCGGACAGCCTCCTCCAGGCCTTGTTTTGCACCATGCAAGCATGTCGGGTAAACTCCCAGAAATGGGGTTGCTGTTCAGAGCTGCGTGGTGTCAAATCACACTCCAGCGTGGATTTACCAGTTCATGCTTTGTCCACCTGGAGGAGTCCCCCACTGCCCCACAGCCTGCCAACAAATGGTGTTATCTTGTGGGACCTTCGACAATCCTAGGTGAAAAAATGGTCTTTCGGGATCATTTTAATTTGCATTTCTCTTTGAGGGAGGTTGAGCATCTTTTCCTATGAGTAAGCCATTTATTTTAATGGTTTCTTTCCCTGTGAAGTGTGTGTTCACATCCGTTGTCCTATTTCCTATTGAGTCTTTCTCCTGCTGTTTTGTAAGAGCTCGTTATGTATTAGCTCTTTGCCTGTGATAAGAATTGGGAGTGTGTTTTTCTTATGACTTTATTTCTAGTGTTTTTGCCATGCGAAAGGGATTTTTTTTTTTTTTTTTTGTAGAGGAGAGAGGTTTTTTTTTTGTTTTGTTTTCTTTTCTTTACTGGCTTCTGGATTTTAAGTCAGGGATTTAAAAAAGCCTTGCCTAACCCCAAGGTTATAACGCAATTTTCCCTTTTCTTGAACCTTTCATAGTTTTGTTTTTTATTAAATGTTGAGTTGCCGTGAAGAATACGTGTAAATAGGTGCATGGTGTGAGGCACCCTTCCCTGGCAGCGCCCAACTTCCGGAGGAGGACTGCCTGTCACCTTGAAGGCCCCGGGGACCCCTCCCCTGCCCCACCCCCGGCCTTCTCCTCACAGAGGTAGCCACTATCTGACGGTTAACATTTTTCCCTTTTGTTAGAGTTTTAGCACATTTATGTCCCTAAACTCTGTATTGTTCAGTGTCGGTGCCTGCTTTGAAGTAGAGACAAACAGATCGGTGCTGAGTTCTCTTTATTTCTTTAATTGAGGCGGAATCCACAGAACGTACAATTTACCGTTTTAAAAGTGTACAATTCAGTCTCATGTGGTACATCCACAGTGCGGTGCAGCCACCACCCCTGTCTAGTTCCGAAACTTTCCGTCACCCCAAGAGGAAGCCGCAGGCCCCGTGGCCCAGCCCTCCAGGCCGATGGCCCCTGCTCCACGTCCCGTCCCTGTGGATCTGCCTGTCCTGGACCTGTTGTGTGAATGGGCTCTTTCAGCATCAGCCCGTCCGTGTCGGCTTCTTTGGGCGTGTTTCCGAGGTTCCTCTGCATTGCGGCATGTGGCTCAGGGCTCTGTTCCTTTTCACAGTCGAATAATATTCCACTGCATGGATGTGCCCCATTCTGTTCATTCGTCTGCGATGGACACCGCGTGGTGTCCAGCGTGGCTGCGGTGAGGAGGGCGGCTGCCTGCTCTCTTTTACCCCGGGGTGAGCAGCTGGGCGTCTCCCAGGCACTGCGTGGAGGCGGCATCATTCCTTTTCACTGCCCATGGGGTCCCTTGTGTGACACACTACTGCCGCCACCCTGCTGTGGTCGTTGGGTTGTTCGTTGCCGTCCCCCTGGTGCGCTCGTGGTTCTGAAGGACATCGACGTGGGAGTGGAGTTGCTTGGTTCGGGGAGTGTTTATGTTCAACTTTACGAGATAAATGCAAAGAGTTTGTGCCAGCTTGTACCCCCCTGTTTTCCTTACATACAAACTCTGGCTGCACTTGGGCTTTCCCCTGGGTGTAATGTGAGCTGTGGTCTTTTCTCAGTTGGCTAGCTGGTTGTTCCAAGGACATTTATCGAATAGTCTCGTCTTTTCCCCTGATCTGAGGTGCCAGCTTTATCCTGTCCTAAATTCTCCCAGTGGTTGTGTCCCCACTGGACTTTCCGTTCTGTCTGTGCTAATGACACTGTTTTAACTCCTGCATCTGGAGTCACTTCTGGCCCCCAGAAGAGACTCCCCGTCTCAGCCCAGCCCCTAGCCCTTCATCTTGTTTCCCTCACCCCCTGTTATTATAGCTAGGGAAACTGAGGTAAGGTGCAGTTTGGGTTTGGTCTTTCTTGTGACTTGAGCCACGGGGTGGACCCAGGCAGAGAGCTGGACCTTGGTGTGTGTGAGGGTATCATCTTAGCCAGAACTGCTCGAGAACCTAGGAGTGGGGTGCAGGAGAGGTGGAGGTCTAGACAGGACCCTCTTGCCTAGACTCGGAGGCTGACAGAGCTGGGGTTGACTCTCGAGCCTGCCATTTACTGGTCCTGTAACCTAGAGGAGGGTCTCGGTTTTCTGCTCTGTAAAGTGGGGATGAGAGTCAGATGAGCTGCTGGGATCGGATGGTGGGGCTGCCTTCGAAGGTGTTGGCGTTGCTGTGGGTGGGGTAGTGGGCTGGGTATTGCCATCCCGTCATCCTGCCGTCCAGGGCTGTCCCAGGAGTTGCAACTTCCCATCCCTCTCTGGCCCCTGCCTCCACACACCTCAGCCCCACGCACCCCACTGACCCGGCCTTTTTCCAGAATTGAGTCGCATCCCACAGGTCAGCAGCCCCCAGCCTTTTTGGCACCAGGGACCGGTTTCAGGGAAGGCAATTTTTCCACAGATAGGTAGGGGTGATGAGGTGGTTTGGGGATGATTCAAGCACATTACATTTATTGTGCAGTCAAACCTCTGGCTAATGATGATCTGTATTTGCAGCCGCTCCCCAGCGCTCGAATTACTGCCTCAGCTCCACCTCAGATCATCAGGCATTAGATTCTCATAAGGACTGCGCAACCTAGATCCCTCGCCTGGGCAGTTTACAGTTTGCGCTCCTATGAGAATCTAATGCCATGTTGGTCTGACAGGAGGCGGAGCCCAGGCAGTGATGCGAGTGATGGGGAGCGGCTGTAAACACAGATGAAGCTCGCTCCGCCGCTCACCTCCTGCTCTGTGGCCTGTTCCTAACAGGCCACGGATGGGTATCGGTCTGCAGCCTGGCCTGGCACTTGGGGACCGTAGCCATAGGTGATCTGTGAGCCTTTTGCATCCCTACCTGTCCTCCACCTGTCCAGCCTCCTTGCTGCCTCCTGCCTGTGGTGTCTCACCTCCTTTCCTCCTTCCCACGCGCTGCTCTTCTCTCCTCAGGAAGTCCTTGTCGCTCCCCCTGCCACGCTGTGGCGCTCGGCCCCAGGCTGCGTGCTCACCAGACCTTGAAGGGCTGGCCGGGGCACGTGGAGCTGCCTGGCCACCGAGGATGACCCTGGTCTCTTGTCTCCTCTGCCCCTGGCAGGTGCCAACATCGCCTCTGGTGAAGAAGTTGCGATCAAGCTCGAGTGTGTGAAAACAAAGCACCCCCAGCTGCACATCGAGAGCAAGTTCTACAAGATGATGCAGGGGGGAGGTGAGGGCCGAGCTGGGAAGGGGCCCAGAGCTGTGACAGCGAAGATGATGCAGGGGTGGGGGCGGAGGGGAAGGGGGTGACCACCCCTGACGGTCCCCTGTCCGGCCCCCAGTGGGGATCCCGTCCATCAAGTGGTGTGGAGCCGAGGGCGACTACAACGTGATGGTCATGGAGCTGTTGGGGCCCAGCCTCGAGGACCTTTTCAACTTCTGCTCCCGAAAGTTCAGCCTCAAGACGGTGCTGCTCCTGGCCGACCAGATGGTGAGTCCTCTACCTGCCCGCCCTGGCCAGGTGCCTGTGGGCCCTGCCAGGCAAGCCACTTCCCATCCAGCCTCTATTTCCCTGTCGTGCCAGTGGGCCCAGGAGGATGCTGGAAGAGCGGACAGTGGCAGAGACATAGGACAGGCCTGGTTCCTGGACCAGGGCACCTTGACCTCTGGCTATAGAAATCTGGAAGTGTTTGTTTAAAATGCTGATTCCAACTCCAGGCTCCTTGGGTAGGCTTAGGACGCTGTCCTTGGGCGATTTTAGAGCCTGGGGTCAGACAGACCTGGATCCTGTCCCAGAGTGGTGACTGTCAGTGAATTGCTAAGCCTCTCTGAGCCCCGGGTGCCTCATGTGAGTCTCGCCTTTGTCGGTTGTTGTGGGATTAAGTGAGGGCTGTGCAGCGCCAGGCCAGAGCGGGCCCCGCTGGCAGGCAGTTGGTAGGTCCTAAGCCCTTAGTAAGCACAGAGGAGCAAAGCTTCTTAAAAATAGGAAACCGTAGAATTTGGGGCCTGGCATGGAACAGGGAGATCTTGTGCACGAGTTTTAGTCTTGGCCTGCGGCTGGCCTGCAAAGGCTCTGTGGTTTAGGTTCAATGCATGTGCCGGAGGACCATCGTCAGAGTCTCCAGGGTGTGAGGCCCAGGGAAGGGTCTGGCGCTGCTCAGCCTTGCGAAGCCTGAGGCCCAGAGCAGTGTGACCTCCAGAGACACGTCGTGCGCATGGATGTTAGTCGGAGTGTTTAAAAATCACGCACAGGAAAGAAAAGGCTGTGTGTCTGCCTGGCTTTAGAGTCCTGTCTTTGTGCTCCATCTCTGTCATGCCTGCCCTCCCGCCCCCCGAATCTGGTCGCCTCTCTGACTCCAGCTGCCCAGGTCCTGTGAGGGTAGAGCCAGGCAAGGCTTCTCGGGGGGCCTGCGGGCCTTTCCAGCTCCATCTTCATTTCTGGGTCTTACCATCAGCTTTCTTACCTGGCTCTCTTTTCCTGTCTCACAACAAACTTGCTGGGTTCCCCCTTCAGAGTTCGTCCTAATGTCACTTCTTCCATAAAGCCTTCCTTGACCTGCCCCTTGACATCGTCCTTCATAGTGGAATGCAGATCTTTCTCCCTCACCGGGGCAGGGACCACGTGTGCATTTTCCAGCTCTGTGGCCCCAGCCCTCCACCCCCCAGCCCAGGCCTGGCTCAGGGTGCTTGGTGAAGGCCCCTCCGTGGAACACCTGGTGAATGGCTTGCTCTCCCCTCCCCTCCCCTCCCCCAGATCAGCCGCATAGAGTACATCCACTCCAAGAACTTCATCCACCGGGACGTCAAGCCCGACAACTTCCTCATGGGGCTAGGGAAGAAGGGCAATCTGGTCTACATCATCGACTTTGGCCTGGCCAAGAAGTACCGGGACGCCCGCACCCACCAGCACATCCCCTACCGGGAAAACAAGAACCTGACTGGCACTGCCCGCTATGCCTCCATCAACACCCACCTGGGCATCGGTGAGCAAGCCAGGCCCGGAGCAAAGCGCACCTTTGCTCCTGGCCAGGACCTGGTTTCCTCAAGCCCTCCTGCCCCCACCTTGGTTGGAGGCCTCTGGGCACTTTTCTAGGGAGCCTCACTGAGAAAGTCCCCACCCCATCTGTCCCCAAGCCTGGCCCTAATCCAAACCTCACACAGGGTTGGGTCTTCCCCTCCGCATGCCTGGCTTCCCCCTCACCGCAGCCCCCTGGGTTGGAGAGGACGTCTCCCTGCTGCACAGGCTGGAAACACAGGCTCGGGCTTCACACAGGCTGCCTAAGGTTGTGCGGCGGAGTGAGCACCAAAGCTGGGTTTGACCCCAGTGCCGTCTGATGCCAAAACTTGTGCTCTCTCCACGGTGTGGGCCAGGCAAGAAGGCTGTGGGTGCCCACTCATAGTCGTTGAATGGTTAAGTGCCTGAGCTGGAAAAACTAGGCCCAGATTGAGTTGAGAAAGCTCTCCCTCGTTCCCCTTCTCTGTAGGAGGGAGATAGTAGCAGTACCTGTTTAAGACAGGGCTGCAGCAAGCCAGCATGTGATGGGGGTGCGGGGCGCACAGTGAGGAGCACGACCAGGAGGAGGAGCTGGGGGCCTGAGTAGACCCTGCCCCTCACCTTGCCCTCGGTTCCCTGTGCAGAGCAGAGCCGTCGAGATGACCTGGAGAGTCTGGGCTACGTGCTCATGTACTTCAACCTGGGCTCCCTGCCCTGGCAGGGCCTCAAAGCAGCCACCAAGCGCCAGAAGTATGAGCGGATCAGCGAGAAGAAGATGTCAACACCCATTGAGGTCCTCTGCAAAGGCTACCCCTGTGAGTAGCCCAGAGTAGCCTGGGGACCCCGAGGCCCTTTCCGTGGGGAAGATAAGGCCACATGCAGCCCGTGTGGGACTTCCACAGCCTTGGTGCCAGAGCATTAATCACAGGCTCTCTGCCACTGCTCAGGCACAGCTGGGAGGCCTGGGCTCCCCTGGCCTGGCTCCTCCGTCCCCAGTGTCCCCAGCGCACATCCTTGCCTTAGCTCCCAGGGCCCTTCCCCCTACCCTGACTCTTTTCAGAAGGAAGTGGAAGTTTTCCTCTTGTTGCTTAGGTTGTGTGGGGAGGTCGCATCAGGCTCTTGAATGTCCTTTGAGTGTATCACAGCCGTTGTTCTGTGGTCTCTGTGATCCCCCAAGAGCTTGGAAGAGCAGGTGAAGGACTCTCACCCATTGTCCATGGGTCTTCACTCCTCTCGCTTTCAGAGGCTCTGCTCTCAAGCAGGCTGGGGTTTTATCCTCGTGGAGGGACCGTAGTTCTCTTGTCCCTTCATCCTGTCCCCCTAGACTGAAAGAATTTGCAAGGACAGTGGGTGGCTAGAATGGCACTGCCGGGGGGGGCGCTGGGAGCACAGCCTCACGGCAGCCTCCTCCATCCCCTGTGACCCCACCAGCCGAGTTCTCAACATACCTCAACTTCTGCCGCTCCCTGCGGTTCGACGACAAGCCTGACTACTCCTACCTGCGCCAGCTCTTCCGCAACCTCTTCCACCGGCAGGGCTTCTCCTACGACTATGTCTTCGACTGGAACATGCTCAAATTCGTGAGTCTCCTGGAGGCTAAGGCGGGCATGGGGGGCTGCCCAGGGAAGGCCCCGACTCCTGGGACCAGAGTGACCCAGTGGCGGGCAGGCCTCCCAGCACGCGGGAGGTATGAGCTGGACAGTGCAGCCGGGCTCACTGGGGTCCCAGAGCCCCCTGACCCCAGCCTCCTCAGTGCTGACGGCGTGCACCACCACTGCCAGCAGGGCCCAGGCAGGGTGCTGTATCCCACGAGACTGAGGAGGACCTGGCTTGGCCTCGAGTCCCTCCTGGGTGCGTGTGGCGGGGCCTGGGTGGTGCTGCTGGGTGGTGCTGCTGCCTTGGCCCTTGCCTACGCCACCTTGCTGCTATTGTTCTACACGTCCCAGGTGGCTGCCTCCGCCGTGGCCCCTCCGGCCGGCCTGGACCCTTTCATAGTGGTTTCTTTCTTCTTGGTCATGGGACCCTGGGTCTTGCTAGGCAGCTGTTCTGTCTCCCTCTTTTAAGGGTCCTGGGGGTGGGGTGGGGAGCAGCGTTCGTCAGCCGCGCCTGGAACTCCGGAATCTGTGAAATTGTATGTCTTGTTTCACGTCTCTTCTGGAAAAGGGGGCTGCCTCGAGCCAGGCTCAGCCCCGTGACGACGAAGCTATTGCACCATTCTGTCCCTGCCCCTGTCCCTGTGCCGGGCCCACGTTCCCTCCTACGTACTGGTAAGGACGCTCCGAGGCCCGGCCTTTCCACGATTTGCCACTTGGCCGGTGAGCGCGAGAGGCCAAGCCTCAGCTGTGCTCTCTTTGTCCCTTCCAGGTGCCCGGCGCCCCTGGGCACCCAGGGCCCCCCAGATAGGCCCGTGGAGGAGGTGGAGGAGCTGCCCCCCCAAAACTACTGGCCTGTGGTCTGGACTCCAGGGCCCCATTTCTGACTTCGCCAGGTGCGCCTGAGCCCCTTGGGGCCAGGCCTGAGGAAGCGTCCTCTGGGATGATGGGGGGAGCCCCCTGTTCCCGCGAGGTGGCAATGCAGAGGAGAGGGCATGGTGGAAAAGGCCCTGCCTCCGGATTCTTGGGAACGAAGCAGCTGCCCGAGGGCCAGGACAGAGCCTAGAGGAGAGGTGACGGCCACTGCCCAGGATGGGCCTGGTGGGAACGAACACCAGGAGCAGCGTCACAGCTAGACCCCAGTGGCGGCCTCTGTACTGAACCCGAACTCATTAAACACCTACCCTGCTTCATCCTGGTGTGCCTCTGCCTTCACGCGGGCCCACGGCCCACTCTGCCACGTGCTCAGGAGTGAGGCTTTGTTCTCCTGGACGCTGAGGTCGGCACTCTGGGCTTGGGCTCCTTTCCTCTCTGGGTTTCAGACAGCGGTCTTGTTCCCTAAGGAGTGGGACAGAGGTTTGGCAGAGGACAGGGGTCTCCCAGGCCAAGGACTTCAGGGAGAAGCCTCTGTTGCCCTCCCATGCAGGGATGGGGTGGGAGATGGGCAGGGGTGGGGCGCGCCTTCTCTTTCACCCCGGACCTTCTGGATTGGAATGTGGCCCAGGGCACCCGGAGCCAGCTCTTCTCACCTCAAGGCAGTGGGCACTGGGCATTCACTCATCGCCAGAAAAAGTCATGCCTGACTCTTATTCTGTGATAGCCTCGACCCTTTGGCTCAGCACAGCTCCAAGAATGGATTTTTCATTCCCCAGGCCTCTGCCGTCCAAAATAGTAGCCACTGGCTACATGTGGCTAATTTTTAACTAACTAAAATTAATCAGAATTGAAAATGTAGTTCCTCAGTCACATTCGACACATTTCAAGTTCTCAGGAGCCTTAAGTGGCTGATTAGCGGCCACCATGTCCAGCAAGGCAGATGTGACCATTGCCTTCATCATCCCAGAAAGTTCTGTGGACAGCACTGCTCTAGATGCCTCCGTTACAGAGCCTCTCACGGGACTGTCCAGCCACCAAGATCTCTTCTCACGCCAAGCCAGGAGCACCCTCTCCACCTGTTGCTGGCACTGTGACCCCCTTCCGGGGGTCCCCCTTGGGACAGATCCAGGAGTCAGAAGCTGGGCAGTGGCGCCTACAGCATTTTCCTCCTCTGGTCTCTGGCCCATCACTGCTCTCGATCACTTCTAGCAGCCCCTGGCAGGAGTATCTGCAGGACGTGCAGTCGGAACCTTCCATTCCCTTCACACCGAGGCCAGGCCCCTCTTACACCACCCCGTCCTGCGGAGTCCCTCCCTAGCACCTGGCAGCAGGCGGGACGCTCTGCTGGGCGCCAACCAGCCGCAGACTCTCCCATGGGAAGGATCTTGCCCTTGACCTCCTTGGAGTGGCTTCCCGTGGTGTTCGGCATCGGGGCGCTGGGATCCCTGGAGCCCTGGCGCCCGGATGCTGCTCTCAGCACACACCGCCACTGTGTTCTGAGGTCTGGCCAGCAGCCGGGAAGAAATTCACAGCCGTGGACAGGTCCATACAGCAGGGGCGGATGCCTGTGTGACATGGCTGAACTTTTATGTTTTCTTTTGGGGAAATAAAGGCCAAGAAAGCTCCCTGATGTGCATTTCTTGAGGCGTTGCTTGGGTTGGATTGAAACGGGGAGAGTACTTTACCTCCTTCTCTGAGGCGGGCATTGGCCTGAGCCTCCTGATGTCCCAAAGGGCTGGAGCCACAGGGCTGTGCACCTCGGAGCAAATCACTTAGCCTCGGTTTCCCCAGCTTGGGGAACCTGCCTTGCAGAGCCGACGTGCCCCTGTCCGCAGGCGGTTTGATAAGTAGGGGCCACAGCTCTTATTTATCCCTCGGGCTCTGCTGTGGCTCTGGCTGAGTCACCCTCTTTGCCAGCCCCTAACTGAATGGGTGGAAGCCCAGGGAGAGGACCAGAGATCAGGAGCTGGAGTTCTGGGGCTCCTGGGCCTGCCCAGCAGGCTTCTGGGTGGCACGATGGGGAAATGTGCTCCTAGAGTCTTCTGCTAAGGCCGGTCTCTGAACAACATCCTCTTAGCATGCAGAGAGCCGAGTGGGACCAGGTGGCAGAGGCCTGGGTTCAGACCCCGGCTCTGGAGCTGTGTGGCCCGAGGCAGTCATGAGGCTCTCTGGGCCTTGGTGCCTCACTGGGATTCAGGGATCATCCTGGTCATAACCACTGCTTCCCAGAGTTAAGGACGGAGCCCAGCCCAGCCCCATTTCTTGGCCAGTCCCCTGGGAGAGACATGAGTTGCAGAAGCCCCACCCCATGGCCCACGAGCAGACCCCCAACTCAGCCTACAGCTCTCTCCTCCACAGATGCGGCCCCCCTCCTGCCAGCCCCCCGCCCTTCTCTGTGGACGCCCCCAGGACCAACTAGGTAACGCAGCAGGCACTGCCCCCTCGCCTGCTCCTCTCTGGGCCTTTCTCGTTTCCTCCCGCACAGGGACCCCCGGGGGCTCAGGGAACCTCTTCTTCCTCCATGGGGCACCTAGCCCCGTCTTCTTCTCCAGCTCTCCCTGAGCCCCTGTCCCAAGGCAGGCAGCATCTGTGGGTCCCCTGGGCCTCCTGCTGTGGTCGCCACGGCACCTGCCAGAAGCCATTGCAGGTCCCAGGGCAGGGGAAGACCAGCCCTCTCATGAAAAGAGCCCCTGGCTGTGCACCAGGAGACCTGGTTAGAGTACTGGCCCAGCCTTCAGCTAGTTCTGTGACTGGGCCTGTCCCTTTCCCTCTCTGGACACCCCTTCCCCCATCTGCCAGTGGGCCTCTGAGCACCTGCCCTGCTCTGTTCGGAAACCCTGAAGGGCTGAAGGCTCTTAGTACACAGAGGGGGCCAGGGCAGGTCCTAGCTCCAGGTCAGGAGGGCCAAGCAGTGTCCTTGGTCATTCTGGGGACATCAGCCCTCCTGGCTCTGATTATAGCCCCATGAGACAGGGGCAGACTGACCTTTCTCTGGCTCTTGGATGCCTGCTTTCCCCTCTGGGTGGTTGTGTGTCTTCGTTTCTCTGCTGCGCAATTGTGGATCATGGTTTACGCTGTCGGGAGGAGGCTGGATCGGAGGGTTTCTGAGATGCCCACCCGGCCTTCCCTGCTCCGCCCTGTGGGGTGCTGGGGCCCAGAGCACCCTGGCCTCCAGGGCTGATGTCTCATCCCGCGTCCCTGCAGGGTGCATCCCGGAACCCCGAGGACGTGGACCGGGAGCGGCGAGAACACGAGCGCGAGGAGAGGATGGGGCAGCTGCGAGGGTCTGCGACCCGGGCCCTGCCCCCTGGCCCCCCCACGGGGGCCACTGCCAACCGACTCCGCAGTGCAGCCGAGCCTGTGGCCTCCACCCCAGCCTCCCGCATCCAGCAAGCTGGTGAGCAGGGGCCTCGGGCAGTGGGGGCCCCGGGGGGCTGCGGGCTCTGTTAGGGCCCACTCTGAGGGCGGCTTCCCTTGCCTCGTCCTCTAGGCAATACGTCTCCCAGAGCGATCTCACGGGTCGACCGGGAGAGGAAGGTGAGTATGAGGCTGCACAGAGGCGCGCCCGCCAACGTCTCGTCCTCAGACCTCACTGGGCGGCAAGAGGTCTCCCGGATCCCAGCCTCACAGGTGAGCTGCCCTCACCCCAGCCCCTCCCAGTCCCTCTGCGGCGCGTGGCTGAGCTGCAGACCCTGTATACACTCCCCAGTGCAGGCTCAGGCCTCCCCTCTGTTCTGTTCTCTCCTGACTCTGACACCCTTGGAGCTGGCCCCTTTTGTAGAGCCCAGAATTTGTCTTATTTAATCTTCTGAGGCCTATTTAGCCTCATTGGGCAGAGTCAGAAATCAGGGTTCAGAGAACTAACTCGCCCCAGCAGGTGGTAGAGCCGGATCCAGCCTTCACTGCTGGGGGCCCAGTCCCGGTGGGCAGCAGGGAGTTGGAGATGAGGTGCTCATGGTCCCTGCCAGCAGGCAGCCCCCCAAGAGCCCCTGTCAGCACTGGCGAGAGAATGGGATGGAGGGCTGGGTGAGGTCCCATCCGTGTCTCCACTTAAGGGCCGTGTTTGAACTAAGACAGTCGGGAAGGGGGCATCCCTGGCTACTGCCTGTGAGGGAGGGGCTTCCACTCTGGGGTGGCCTGGAGCGGTCAGTTGGGCCCCGATCTTATTTACAATACAGGGACATCCCAGGCTCATGGGATCATACAAGCCTTCCCCTGGCTTGAGGGGTTTGGTGGGGGTGGGGTGGAGCGTCACAGTGGGGACAGACTTGCCACATCACCATTGCCAGCAGCTGAGGGACTTAAAGCTTGTGCTCCCATCTCTTCCGCCTCTCCCCAAAGACAAGCGTGCCATTTGACCATCTCGGGAAGTGAGGAGTGCCACCATCGGACCAGTGTTTGCTTAGGTGAGTCGGTGTCTGCTGCAGACGCAGCCCAGCCTGGCTGGTCCAGAAACATCCACGGCCCCAGGAAGAGACTGGTGTGTTGTGCAAAGGGTCCAGGGAGCAGCAGATAGTACCAGGTCCCCTAAAACCAAGGGACCTCAAGGGAGGGCTGAGGTTTCCTCTGAGCAGGCCTGGCCCCACGTTGATCAATTTCTGCTGGACAACTCTTTCTCTGCCCTTGGGCCAGTCTTCTGGCCCCCTTTGCCTTAACATAGTCTGGAAAGTTGCTTCCTAGCAGAGACAGGGTCATGGGCCCACACTCTGACCTGCCCAGGGCTCTTACTTAGCTGCTATACAGGTTAATTCATGCAACGCACTTAGAACAGGGCCATTGACTTCAGAGTTCCCCTGCTGTGGAGAAATCCCCTCATTGGCTTCTGCAGGGCCAGGAGGGGCCCCCTGGCAAGTGTGAGCCTAGGTGATTCTTCCGAGCCTGCACGAGGCCTTGAGCTGATGTAGCGTACTTCTCCACTCCGCAGCTGGCTTGGGGAAGGGGAGGTGGCTGTGGGTTCCTTGGGTACATGAGGGGACAGTCTGAGCGCCCTGGGGAAGAGGCGTATGCTGGTAGGCAGTAGTGTATGCATCCGGAGACTCAGCCCCACGCCAGGACAAACCGAGTGTGACTGGCTTTGCAGAACTTCATCCGCAGAGAGAGCAGAGGCATGAAGTGGGGCATCAGATCTCAGGTGCAGGAACAGGCCGTCCGCAGGCTGGGCAGCTGTGTGGCCAGGCGAGCTGCTCACCGGGCAGGTGAAGGAGGGAGGGAGGATCTATTTCCTGCTCATAAAAATGGAGCCGCTCCCGTGTCCTGGGCCTTCAGCCAGGTTCTGGGGCCCAGAGAGGACAGATGGGGGGACAGGAAGACAGGAGCTGGCAGACGGGCGGCTA